CACTCGTATGAAGAAGCTTGACGAGAGCACAGACGACAGTTAATGTCCGTCTCCTGGTTATGATCCAAGCCCGTTTAAGGCCCGGCGCTAAGAGGACGTCTGCTGCAACAATACAAAGTTTGCAAGGGCAGCTGCAGTCCGTCCTGAATGTAAAAAAGAAAAAAGTGTGCGATTGGGAACTCAGGGTGAATCTCAATTAGGCTGACTCCTGCTCACCTTCCCTTCGGTGCTGACCTGACCTTCGTTTGCTGAAACTCATTTTGTGATGGGACAGTTGTGTCTTTTTTTTTAGTGAAGAAGAACCTGTTCCCTGTTTTGTACCGACGCTGACGATCTGGCAGCACTCGCAGAATCTCAGATAAGAAGCTTTGAAAGCGGCTGCTGTGTGTGGTTGCACTGGTTGAGTGTTTGGTTTCCTTCAGGAAGCAGATGTGCTAAACCCCGTTAGCTCAGAGTAATCAATGAGTTATCATCTATTAAATTAATCTGCAGCTGTTTTGATTGTGGCTTAATCAGTTTGAGCGACTTTTGAGGGAGAAAAAGTCACATTTTAGTGTTTAAAGCTTCTTAAAAGTGAATATTTCTGGATGTTTTTAGGTTGTGGACCAAACAAGACATTTGAGGATTTCATTTTGCACCTGATTAACCAACCAATTAACCAGCTAATCAAGAGAAATAACTTCAATTCACGGCTGCATCCCTGTTAGATCGTCTATTCACTAAATGTGCGTAGATAAAATACTCCATAAAGGTTTTAGCTCAAGAGACTCTTACAAAACAAAATGCTGCAGAAAACTCCGGCGTCTCTCGCGACCTTCGGTTTCTGATGCACGTCTTCACGAGGAGACTCTCATCCAGGACCTTCAGAGTCCGTCGCGAGACCTTGTGTCGGCTGCGCTTTTGGATTTGATGCCGACAACAGCTGCTTTCAGGTTGCATTGTGTGGCAGCACAATATGACAGCACTTAAGGAAGAAGTGCAGCTCAGACAGACGAGTTAAAAGTGTGGCTTCACTGTGGTGGTGGTGGTTGTTGTTTTTTTTTTTTCTTCCCTTTTCTTGTCGATGCTCCAGCTGAACAAATTAAATCTTTGGATGGCTGAATATGCAGAAGTGTTTTTTTTAAACTATGCACACCCAGTCCAGAGTTATGTATTGTATAATTTCTGGTTCAAATGCTCTTGTTTACATAAATTAACTTTAAATACAAACAGCTTTTTTTTTTCTCTTCAGTTCTCTTTACATTTATTTTGCCTGAACAGTAGGCTTCCTGCACACTCACATCCCAGATATCCGTCTGTAGCTTTCAAAGCAAACACAGGAATCCGATTTGATCTCTCCTGAAGGTGCTCCTGCGGGACGACGCTCCGTAACTCCAATGGTTTGGCTTCATGTTTGTCTCGACAATTAGCTCCTGAACGGACAAAACAAGGCTTTTAAAAACGGTCCCAAAGTGCCTCATTACTTTTGTGTTTCTCCAAAAGTCTGCGCTGATGGAGAAATTGATGATACTGCTTTATGATAATGCCCCAAAAAGCCGGATGAAATATTCATAAAACTGTTGTGCAGGTGCTGTTTTGTGCTGCGTAGATTCCCGGCTGCAGTTTATGTTGTTTTATTGACGGTGGGGGTCCCTCAGTGTCCGCCACCTCCTCTCATTAACTTAACAAACGGCTCACCTGCCCTCCATCATGCTTCTTCTTCTCTCCGCAGCGTCGCAGTGGGTGTCGGTTTCTACGGCAACAGCGAGACCAATGACGGCGTCTACCAGCTGACCTACTCCCTGTACAACGCCAATCACACGCTGGGCGGCGTGGACAGTCTGGTAGGTGGAACAGAAACCTCCTCACATAATGAACTAAAACAAAGTGACCCATCCAGCAGGAAAACAAAACAACTCTGGTTTCAGAGACGCTGCTTGTGATGTATTTACAGACACACAGAGAGAGAGAGAGAGGAGAGGAAAAGCCCCAGAGGACTCAATTTAGCACGCCTTTAAATGTTTTTTATGGTCTTTTTATAGCGTTTTACCGCTACACACAAATTGACAGCCTCTCAACACACAGCACTCGCTGCTCCACCTTCTCCCGACCTCTGTGGTCTCAGCACAAAACAAAGACTTGTGCTCGCTTTAGCTCGGTACATGATGGTTTTTTTTCTGTATTTTTACCTGCTTCCTTCACACAGACGTGCACATTTCACTGGAGTGACGAGGCATTTTTCTCCCTTCAGTCAAACTTATAGAGAAAAAAAGAATAGCATTTTCTTTTCTCTCGGTTTCAAAGTAATGTTAAAGTTAATTACCTGTCAGCGCCGTTAGTGAAAGACCTCTGATTAGCCTTGACAATCTATAGCGCTGTGAGGTCATTAGACAGTTCTTGAGGTTTTTACTTTAGTGTGTCACAAAAATCTAAACGTGAGGGTTTTAGTGCATAAAGCCGGCCTTCACCATGAAAGGACTGCAGCTACGTAGAGAGCGTTAACGCCGCACTGACAGCAGCGAGCGCCGTGTCAATTTAATAGTCAAAGGTAATTGACTTGGAGCTGCAGTCTGCCGGTTGATTGTTCGGTCGATTCGCTCTCATCTGGCCAATTGGTTGGATAATCGCGGGTGAAACTTTCACAACAAAAAAACAAGCGCTGCCTCGATAGCCTTCCAGGATCGATCCGTTATTTCTGATGGAGCAGACTGTTTTAAAGACGTTTTCACGACTTTAAACCCACCCGACGTAACGGAGGCTACGAGGTCTGACTCTCGTTGTTGTGGCTGCATTTTGAAGGAATGAATCGACCCAAAAATTCGAGTATAAAAAGCTCAAGACCGTCTGAAAACATCCAGACAAACTTTCCAGTGTTCAACAGTTCTGCCAAGTTTCGTGTTTCGGCGCTTGCGGCTTTGTGTGGGAGCACTAAGATCGGATATAATTCGATATATCTGGTCTTGTGGTCATTTTATTACCTGCATCCAGCTACATCAGCAGTAGTTCCAGTCAGCAGCAGCAGCTACACCCACATGTGAAGCCTCGTCTCTCATCAGAAGTGAAAAATTATATTACGACGGGAATGAAGTTAAAATGATTTAATGTGCTGAAATAGTAGCTTTTATGTTCAATTATAGTTCGATTAGACTGATAGGGCTTCCAGGCAGAGGGCACCGAGTGCACTGAGGCTGGATTAGTCGATCTAGAGATAATGTGCAGATTTTTCTCTCTAACTCAACTCTGATTGGTTGAGAACTCAGTCAACCAGGACTTGCTTTGGTTTTCAGCTCTAATTGAAACCACGGAGACTTGACTTCCTTTGACTTGTCTTCTAACAACTACTGACGTGTCTTGAGAGTTGTGCAAACTGACCCAAGACTCGTGTAGGCGGACTTAAAACTTGAGTTGGGACTCGTGAAACTTGTGTAGATTGACTTTAGACTTCTGGGCATCCAATTTAGACTTGAGTTGCTCCAAAAAACCCGTAAAAAAACAGCTCTGGTATCAAACATTGTAATGCTTTAACGGTACTATAACAAAAAATAATTAGTCGTTACTCATGTACATCCCAAAATAAGGGAGGAAGAGGAGAAACGCAGAAAAGGAAGATTTGATTGGAGTCTGCAGTCAGGTTACACAACTAGTGGAATATTAATCTCCATCACAACTTTGGCTTCCCACAATTAAAAGAACACAATAGAAGTTAAGGCAAAAAAGGTAAATTCTAGTTTCTATTGATGAGCAGATGTTGTGCAACTGAGGCGTTTTGGATGCAGTTTTATTAATGCAGATGTTTCAAATGAAGTATATTTTAAGTCTTGTTTTGATGCAGATTTGTACATAAGCACGAATGCAGCATGCAATTAAATGATATCGTTGCTAAAAATCAATAAATAATTGTGCAAAAGGTGATCTCAGTGTTGTTCAAGATGATTGTTTTGGCCATAATGATGCAGCCTTGGGTAGTCGTACGGCAATAATTCAGCTGCAGAAGTGATGATGTCGACCAAAATCAGACAGTCCGTTGGCAGTTGTTGCCACTACATGAAGCAGTAAAGTCATTAGTTTGATTAATTCTTTATAAATTAAGTAGTCTGGCTCGAATTCCTGTATTTTTTCACATTACAGACAAGCAACAGATTGTGATTTTATTTATTTTCCATGTAGCGCAGCACTGATTCAAACAAGTTGCCGTGCAAGTTGTGTTTAAGGTTCAGTGTATTCCTCGAGGAACCCGCTCCACCACCTGAGCTACAGCCAATACAACATATTGGAAAACATCATTTAATCACCAGCAATGAAACAATAGATCCTGCTGCTCTTTATGTTGGTAAACCTCGGCTGTGCGTCTTCGGTGGTTTGTGACCGGCGCTTATCCCGTGATGTTGCCTGCGCAGAGGCGGGGACCCGGGGCGGACTCGCTGTCGAAGAGCAGGGATTAAGTCTCCATCTGTGTTAATGGAGATTAATGTGGTGGTATGCGAGCCACTCAGCTCGGTGACTCAACATGGCCTCGGTAATAAACACTCTGCCGAGGGAGCCCACAGCGCACCCGGAGCGGCGCTGTTCTGTGGCGAGCGAGGACATCTTAACGCTGGTGATGAGGGATCCCAGATTTTAATGGAGAGTAGCTGCCAGGCTCTGATAGATGCTCTGTATAAATAATTTAAACTGGAAACATGTAAGAACTCCGTGATGTTGGAAGATTAGTTGAGCCGCTATATTTCTCCGCTGGGGATTAGCTGACATGCATTAACCAGCCAGCGCGAACCATAAACACGTCGGCCTTTTTGATTCCACCAACATACGCACGTGTTAAGCTTGTGTTACTATAACACATAGAGATGGATGCATCTTTATTTTTTTTGCTATTCCTGGATTGATGTTGCGACCGTCTCCCATTAATCTTGGCAAGCGCTCAGCCACATTCATTCCTCAAAGTCATATTAGCGAGAGGAGAGAAATCATTAACATATAGCTCATCTAAAGGCTTGTCGGTGCGCTCCTCTGGGATGTGTGAACTCGTGCAAACACATAATTGGACATGGTGGCCTTTATGTTAGCATCTTATGCGTGTGAGTGTGTGTGCATGAGTGAGTTCATTGCACACAGCTATAGACTGTTAAGGAGTCTAATTCTTGAGCAGGACAAAGAGCCCAGTGTGCCGTGCACAGTTCCCAGTCTCCCCCCACCTAATCAACCATGAGCCCAGGAGACAAAGGCCTTTGATTGGGAAGAACAAGGAGCAGTGCAGGCCCGTCTGATTGGCAGAGTCAGGATTGAAATCGGTATTGAAAACATTGACAATGAAGGCCTCACTGCCCTTTGGCCCACACAAATGCCTTTTAGCCCGGCTCCGAGAGCGCTTAGAGGCGAGTTAGCTCGCAGCATAAGAGAGAAAAAGGAAGGAAGTTAGACGCATTGTCTGCAGGTGCTTTTTTTTCCTCTGCTCCTGTTGAGATCTTGATTAGCTACGGTCTGGAATATATGCTTATGATGTCTTTATGAACGCTCAGTCCCACAGAAACACACACACTGAGAACGTCAATTAAAGAAAAGCGCTTTCAAAGTGAAAGACTTTCAAACGGGGCTGGTGAAGCTGGAAGCTGGCCAGCCGGGATGCTTCACCTATGATGTAATGGGACTGATGTGACATTTGAAGTGTTTCGCCGCACTAATAATAACTGTATTGTTTGGAGATGGGTGTTGTGAGAGGTTTTGGCAGCGAGCGATCACCCGGCGGACCGGGTCAGTGTCTGGGTCAGTCGCTGAGCGTCTGGCCGGAGCTCAAACACAGTTTGGACGTTGGCCTACTACATAATTACAAACATGCATATTTCCACACCGTTTAATTATACAAAATAGAAGGCTGTCCGCAGTGTTGGACGAGCTACTTGGAAAGAGTACGCCACATTAAATGAAGCTGCACTAAAGCTATTCCCAAAGAAATGTACTAAGTGAAGGTACATCAACACTGGGGCGGCTGGGGCTCAGGTGGTTGAGCGGTTTTCCTCCAATCGCATGGTTGGTGCCCCTCCACAGTCGAAGTGTCCTTGGGCAAGGCACTGAACCCAAAGTTGCTCCCAGTGGCAGGCTAGCACCTTGCATGGCAGCTCTGTCGCCATTGGTGTGTGAATGGGTGAATGAGAAAACATTATAAAGCGCTTTGAGTGCCGCTAAGGTAGAAAAGCGCTCTATAAGTGCAGACCATTTACCATTTACATCAACACTGCAAAAATAGTTCACCACGTCCGTCTGTTGCTTCAAACTGATTCATTTATTGCAGACAGATCGTGAAAACCAGACATTCTCAGCAATTTAGCTGTTTAAAAGCTGCTAGCTGGTGTTTGCAGACTGTGCTCTGGATTGTTTTGGCCAGAAATCAACAATCCATCCCCCCAAACAAACAACTTTAAGTATCTCGGGATCTTGTTAAGGAGTGACCGCTAAATGGATGGACAGACGGATTGGTGCAGCATCATCAGCAGTGCTGGCGTTGTGCCGGACTGTCGTGGTGCAGAGGGAGCTGAGCTGGAAGGCAAAGTTCTCGAGTTACCAGTCGATCTACGTTCCAACAAATCAGCTTTGGTCTGTAGGGTGGTTGGGCTCAGCTTTAGAGATACGATGAAGGGTTTACACACCCCAGAGGGAGTTCGACATAGATGCTGACAAAGAAATTCACTCATAGTCCTCATCCGAAGTTGCTGTAGAGGGCTGTTTAATCAGTATTCTGGCATATGGTCGGCTTACCAACACAGAGTGCAAGTCTGTGAAGGCAAGCCGACCCAGAACATTGGCTGAGTACAACGTTTTTTACAGATAGTCAAAGGGTAGGAAGGGGACA